AAGCTGAAGAAAAATTCCAATTCTTCTGTTGAGCTCAGACAGTGGATGCCCTTAAAACTGGAAGCACCTTGCCATAAGATTGGAAACATACCAGTCAACGATAAATATGACATGCTCACAGGCTCGGTGCTTATTCTGGCTGCACTGCAAATTACTGTAGCCTTATGATCAGTTTGTACCTGTGGCGATACAGCAAAACGTTGAAACGCTACTTAGGATAAGGTCTCATCAAATACAGGCACTAAGACATGGCAGACACCGACATGCCCTCAGTCAAGAGACTATACCGTAACAACTCTTCCAGTAGACCGGATTTGAAGGAGGGATTTGAAAAGCAATGTCCATCATGTCAAGGGTCCCCAGCATGCTCTGGCTTTTCAAGATTTTAATATTTTTCTCTCTTCTATATTATTTTCCTTAAAAAAGGGCATTTAAAGAGCCCTTCCAATACACATCATGGCACACACAAGCCAAGACTTTAATCACAGCAAGGCAATGAAGAGCAGCAATTTTCCCCTCTTGTGCACAGGCATTAGAACAGCTGTAAGCTACAGTAACAGGAATTTTGTGCCTGCTACTAGCCAAACAACACACATAACAAAAGGAAATAATCACTATTTTTGCAAACTATGAGCTCTACTTTGCTGTGCAGCATTAAAATGCATCTGCCCCACAACCCTCATTCTCCAAACTGCAATGACGACATCTCTGCTAGAGCCCCCACAGAGCACCAGGGCACGCTGGGGCACCCCAGCTGGAGAGGACGGCTGCGGGTGGTTTGAAGGAAGGCACCGGGCACTGTCCTGCCTGTGCTCACTGCTGCACAGGCAGCGGCAGAGCACCACAGGGGCCAGCAGTGTGGCTCAGCACAGCTTGGGATGGATACAAAGCCACGGGGCAATCTTAAATCGCAAGGCAAGTTTGGCCAAAGCTTCTCCATCTGCACTACAATGGAGAAAAACAATACCTAGCATTTAATGTTACTCCATTTATGTTGTTCAATGCTATCACAATTACGAACACGCTGTGAGGTAGAAGCAAAAAGCAACGTTCTTTTATGCTGTGAGCACTTTTGCTGTAATTTTGTGCCCATAATACACATACTGTGTTTATACCACCACGCTTAAGAATTCTAGAACTGCCTATGAAACACAGTTCCTTCTAGGTGCATTTAAACATGCCATCAAAAATTCATGGCATTTATCTACCACAACTCTACCTGCACAAGTTCTCTAACTGGGATCTGAATTATTTTCACTGCTTAATTTTTTTCAGAAAGCAATTTTCTAAGAACTTATAGAATTGTCCAATGTTTGGGGGCAATACAGGCAGAAACCTTTATTTCCACACTCTCCAAAGAAGAAAACTGAAACATTTTGTATGAGAAGATGTCACTGAATAGATTTCAGTTGTTCCTTCTGAGGGAGAAAAATCCAGCAATGTGAATTACTCAACACTATAGCTGTTTTTTGCCTTTCATCTCACTGACAGCATCAGTGACAGAAAGATAACCCAAAAAAAAAGAGAGAGAAGAGAGAGATAAAAGGACATGGAGATATATTGCAGCAACATTAAGCATACACAAGTTGAGTATTTATGTGCTGTGAGCATAGGATGATCTGGACTGACACAATCAGGAAAAGGCAATGCACGAAGGGTTTTTCTCTTATTACTTAATTATTCTCTAACAGAGGGAATTTAGGCCAATACTGCTCTAAATAAGGGTGGGTGGGGAAACATTGAAATATTTCAGAGATCTACTTCCTGCTGGTTTAGTAAGAATGTCTTAGGTGCTGCCTGACTGTGCCAAATCAACAAGGACATCTCCCAGAAAAGCCCCCCTTCTGCAGCTGCTAAATGCTGGCACTCTGCAAAAACACGTGTAACATTCCACCTTCACAATGGTCCAATGTATTAATGAATTATGCAGCAATCAAATGCAATTCAACTTTCTCTTACAATAAAAAGGTGTGTTAAACTGAGGACTCTCCTCCCTATAAAAATCCCTTTGCTCCTCCGAAGTGGAATTTTTAGTGATCTCAACGTTTCTCCATTTCCCTGCCCACCTCTCCTCTCTGAAGCATCTTAAGTAATGGCAGAAGGTCCGTATATATTTTACTGCACAGGGAGTTTTACTGGGGGGTGTGGAGAGGGGGAGGAGTGGCAAAAGTAGTTATCAACTCCACATTGCATATAAGCCCAGGCAAGCATCTGCTTCCCGGACGCATTCATGCCTGTAACATTCCCAAACCGCTCAGCGTACATACAGCCGCCTTCCCACAGCGATTCAAAGCCCTGTCTTCTCCCATACTGCTGATGGCACAACAGCAGCACTGACGATTTGCGTGTTTGTGCAGTATTCCTGCACTGAGCAACGCAAAGGGGAAATACATGTGTATTTTAAAATACACCTCTCCTTACGTCACTAAGGCAGTCAAGAAGAAATGAGGCCCTTTTGCTGTATAAACAAGCTTGCTCAAAGTCTGCAGCTGGCAGTGGATGGCAGACAGACTTTTTCTGTCACTGTTTCCCTACCAAAGCAGCAAGAGAGATGTTGCCAGCCTGCCTCTGTTTCTGCCTACAGCCGAAGACAAATCGTACAGAGGTGGGTAAAGAGATGCTCATTGAAGCAACTGATAGAAACCTCGCTCCTTTCTGAAATACCTCTTCTGCTGCTTAAGAATATGCTACATAGCAGAGTGCGTATTTTGTGATTTATTTATGCTGCACCCTTTTGCTAGCAATTTTTAAATAAGTATCTAAGCAATGTGCACAATCCCTAAAATCTAGTATAATAATTATGTTTTGTCTGGTGCATGTTATAAGTACCAATTTAGAGGTGGTTCTACCAGTTAAACTGTTTCCACAGAAATTGAAGGTACTAAACCACCATCATGAGAAATTCTTATATTTGCAGTAAGATTTTCAGAACATTTGATGTAAAACCAGAGTTCAGTTTCTCAAATGCAAAATATACTGATGGGCTTTTCAGAAACTGTTTGGCGGATGAACAGACTTCTCCAGAGCACTTACAGGTGCTCTGAAAAATACTGGTAGGTCAGAGGGAGCCATATTTATTTTTAAACAGCTACTAGGTGCTGAAATTAGCCTCACTCAGTGTCTGGCATCAAAATGTCAGCAGCCTGTGCTCTTCCAAAAATCTTTTGATATCTGAACTTTTCTGAAAATATATCCATGACTGCGGACAATGGGCTCTTCTGAACATTTTGTAACAGCAGCTACTTCCCTCTCCCCCGATCTCAGACACTCAGTTGCAGCAAAATGAGCAAAAAATATATATCCCCCTTCCCGGCATGCTTCCGTAGGACCACTGCCTGCCAAACTCCTGAAGCAGTGAGGCAGAAGAGCCTTGCCATAGCCACCCTTCCGTAGCCACTCTTTGGAGGTGGCACAAAGAGGGAGACATACACCCAGGGAGTAATGCTCCTTCTTTGCACAGCAAGGTGCAACCCAGCATCCCTTTCACTCCCAATTCAGTCCATCTCAAGCACCATGGTCAACTCAACAATGCCAGTTCTCTACTTAAAGCAGGTTTGAGAGTACTAAGCGAGGCAGTGACAGCCATCCCTGAAGGTATACCACGATCCTGCACGGCAGCTCACTGAAGGGGAAAAAATCTCCAGGACCCTGGAGACTGGGAGATGTTTTGCCCAGAAAACATTTTACGACCCTTCCTCGGAAAGGCCCAATCCTCTCACATCTACCCCATGAAATTAAACAGTACTTATATGAGAAGGGCCACTGATTTCAAACATTTCCTTGCTTGATTATGGCTTACTCATCACAAACAGATTTGTCCTAATTCAGCGATGGGACTCAGATTATTTTAGCTAACTTGCATATATACCTTGATGCAGACAAATGGATTGTTTTGTTCTTATTAATATCAGCTATTATCTTTATTTCTGCTTTGACTCATTCTGAATCTGAGTCAAGACTTCTTGACTGCAGAGCACAGCTGACTGAGAAATTAGTTTTGCAATTTAATGGAACATGTATGTGTTTGCCTCAGTCTGATAATGTATGCAGACTTATCAGAGAGTAAAAAGAAAGCATATTTCAAGTTTGCAAACTCTAGAATGGCAGAAACCAAAGGAAACGTATCTTCAGCTCCTCGGTGGCTAAAGGATTCAGCTACTCAGTGACTAAAGGATTGCCCTATCCATTTCCACTTCCACTTTTATGTTGCAGAAGTTAACACATTTATTTCAGGGTATTTAGGTGATCTCTACTTTAATAAAAGACTTTTGGGTTTTTTTTAATAAAATGTAAACTTTGAACAAAATTTGACCCGATAAGCAAATTTAAAGAGTTTCCATTATGCACAGCCTGTATTAGATTCATGTCCATTTTATGTAATCTACAGCAATTCTATACCTGATATATACAAAATATTTTCCTAACAAACAGAAGGTCCTCAAGAAAATTCTTCCATGTTGCATGCAAATAACAAAAAACTCCTGAAAAGCAGTGGGACACTTCACAGAAGACAAGGGCAACAAACAGGATCTTGTAGTCATCATGCCAATAAACATCCAGAGAAAGAAACGCACAATTTGAGACAGTTGCTAGATATTTGGAAGTATTATGCAATAAATCTTGCTATTCTCAAACTTACAAAGAAGCTCATTAAAAACAACACACTTGGGGTTTCGTACAACGAGGAAGTGCTAGTTACCAAACCTGAAAGATTTTCTTCAAAGGCATCAAAAGTAAATTATATTTACTAGCAAAAGAACCACCATGTATACATTTTTCATGGATACCATTTTGATATAAACATTAATGCACTGAATTTGTCATTAAAGTTTTGTCTTATTTAAAAAGCTGAAAAGTTAGAAGACAAGAAACATGCTTGCCTCAGAAGATTAAAACAAATCACCTGAAAAATCAGGTATCTCTCAAGAAAACAGGTGATTTGTATTAACATCAAAAGCAAAGCAAATTAAAAAAGCAAAGCATAAAAAGGCAATTCTTACTTTAACTTCCACTGTCTTCCCACCTTGCTCAATATGCCTCTCCAGATACTCAGAAGACAGCAGGTCACTGGAAGAAGAAGAAAAAAGGACCATAAGCCTGGTGCATGTGTTCTTGCACTGCCTCTCAGCAAGCAATGATTAAACATTTACATTTGAAAAGGGCAAAACCTGCAGGATACTTTTCCTAAAATGTTCATAAAAATCACTGGAACAACCACCTCCAATGGAGCTACACAGTGCATGGGTTATATTGATTTTTGATACCAGAAGGTGGGCCAAGGAAAACTGAGGGGGGTTTTCTTTATAGAAGGTTCAAAACCATTCATTGGTCATGATTTTTAATTCAGGAGACTTTTCTATTTGCTGCTAAAAGCAAACAGTAAGGTAGTGGGACTTTAAGGGAAAAAAACCAAAAGAGGCATAAGGGTGAGAAACCAGTTGGAGTCACTCCTGCAGCAGGCTGTATCTGCAGGAAAATAGTGCTGTCTCTAGCAGACTCCTAAGGACATAACGGCACAGTAATGAAATGACCTTCTAACACTAATACAGTGATCACACTAAATGGGCAAAGCCATTGGCCGCCGGAGATGCACCGCTCCGCAGGCTCAGGGTGGCCAGTGCCACCCGGTGTAGGCGCTAAGGCAGGCGGTGGGTGCCACGCTGCCTTTCAGCCTCCCTCGGGGTACATCCCGCACACTCGCTCTGCCCAGGAGCTAGGCAGCTTTAGCAGTGTCAGAGGAAAATGCTCTGAGCAACAGCAAACCCAGCCTCAGAGGTACATGAGGTTTTGGAAAAAAAAATCAAACCTGTGGCAAACATGTAAGTCAAATGCACACTGTGTTTACTAAGACGCCTCAATGCTAAACCAGTTAAATGCTCTCCCTCATAAGTTAGTTCTTAGGCAAGTAAATCATGTACATCAGAAATTTCACTAAACATTTTCCAAGACTGCTAAATCTTAACTGAGATTAACTCTATATAAAGATTTGATATCGTCACCAAAGTTTACATTGAACTGGAAGAGGTAAAGAATCAATAAAGAAAACATGACCAACAGGCAAGCTGACTGATAGAACAGGAGGCAACGAGCACAGACCTTCTCGGCAAAAGAAGCAAAGTTGAATGTTTCTCCTCCAAACAGCAAAACACCCAGACTAGAGGCGAAGTGACCTGCTGTGGGAGGGGAAGAACAGCAGAGCAGCACCCAGGGCAGCAGCTGCTCGGCTTTCCAGAGCTTCGCCCTGGCTAAACAGGCCAGCAAGGACCATGGACTACTTTGCTCACACAGGCATTGGAGATCACCCAGAGACAGCCCCGAACAGGACAAGGTTGGTAGTACGGGTCCTTCCATATCAGCCCTAAAAACTGTAAGTTTGGTATTTGCATTAATAACCCGGGCACAAAACCCAGGAGCACTCTAATGAAATATGCTGATAACACCAAGTTGGAAAGTATGAGGAATAAAGAAGAAAACAGAAAAAATACCTACAGGAAAGAGCTGGATGATCTTCAGGACTCAATGTTACAAACAGGATCAAATTCAACTGTGCAAACAGCAAATTTATGCACTTAAGGGCTGGAGGGAATTTCTATTAGGTTGTTTTGGAGGGCCTGGTTTGTAAGGAAGAGAGACATGACTGCACTTGTTTCTGGCAAAATGATTTGCCAGATCAATAGAGTATCTTCCTGAAAAACACATCTGTCATACCAGAATACATCAAAGAAGATGTATTTCCAGTCAAACTGAGGTAAGATTAATACCACTGTCCAAAGGAGACCTCTTTTCAAATACTGCAGACAGGTACTGGACAGCTTTGCTGAGAAAGTTCAATTACCTGGAAGCACAGAGAGGCTCCTGAGATAACCAAGGAATGGAAAGCTCCTGAAGTCTAGCAAAACCAACAAGTTGTGAGGGGATCTGAATGCCACAGTTCATGCACTTAGATCGAAAGGTAGCTAATTAGCCCATAGAAGAAGCTGGCACAACCTCAAATGTAGATGAACTGTCAAATGAGTAAATGGAAACTGGGTGTTTATAAAAAGACTTTGTATCTGAGTACAAGTAACAGAGGCAACAAAAAGAGGGATGCTAACAAATTTCTGAATGGGAGCATCTATGGAACAACTGTCCATGCAGGTGGGGTCTCCTCAGTTACAATGAGCTCACAGCTGGGTGTTCCTAAAAACAGGAGGTCTCAGTGCCCTCCAGCAAGCAGGCATTGAACCTACCTTGCCTCAGCACAAGCACTCATCAAAATACTTGGTGTCAGAACTAACATTCATCAAAATACTCTTGGTGTCAGTACTGGCACTCGTCAAAATACACTTGGGAGAGGTCAACAAACCCATGTTTTTGCTACATTAGGTAATTAAAGTCCCTTGTGAAGAGGTACAGTGAGACCCAGAGCTGATGTAAGGGAGGGAAAATAACTGAGCAGCTGTAAATAGGGATAGAAGAAAGGTCAAGCAACTCCTTCAGCCACTGCAGAATCACTGTGACCAGCTGCCCCCAGATTCGGTCTCTAGGACCCTCTTAACTCTGGTCAGACCCTTACACCTATACTGCACAGCAGCATGCAAGTGACCCATTATTGAGGAGCACCTCAAAGAGATGCTGGTTTTTGAGTTACTGATTACAATCCTCTAATTCCTCTTAGAAGTGAACATTAAATATTTAGGATACTCATCCACCTGGAGGAAGCTCAAAGACTTCTATAAGCTCTGCATGACTTTTCCAGATTTAGAAATTTAGACAGATGCTCTTAAAGTCTATACTTCCATGGGTTTACTAAAGCCACCTCTATAGCTTAGGGCTCTACTTTTACTCTGCTATTTCTGGGGGACTCAGTTAAACCAAGGTTGTCGTCCTTATCTGATGGCCACAAAGGGGTTTGTGCCAAGGAAAATGCAATATGTTATAAAATATAAAATATTAAAGTAAGTATACTGTACAAAAATCAGAGATCAAACAGAATGACATAACTCAGAGGGAGTTTAGCTGTATTTGGAGGGATGACAAAGAGAAGCACAGGTCTTCTCATGTGGGTCCGACAAAATTATTGCTTTTTAAAAGATACTGCTGTTAATGTTTTTATGTTCTGGAAGATCGTATGTTATGTTCTCAAAGATCTAAAAATTGTGTCTGGCATGAGAAAAAAGAGATTGATCATTCTCTGCCTTGTACAATGCAAGAACTAGGAGGTAACAGAAGAGGCCAGTAAGCTTAGTCTTGGGAGACTTTCTGGGATGACTCTGGGGAAGCCTCATACAGGCTTGTTCTGCTCTTCTGCTTCTCCCTCACTATCTGCCTTGGGCCACTGGGGCAGGATAGTTGGCCAAGTGGTCCTCTGAGCTAACCTGGGCTGCTCTGCTCTGGCAGGGCCCTCTTCCTCCTGGGGGTTATGTAGGGTGCCCCACTACCCAGCTCCACGGTTGCCAGTGGTCTGTCAGATGCTCTTCTTCCACCCACCACTCCTCTAATGGACATACACAGGTTGTACAAGTTGTGTTTACTTTCAGAGTAGGCCAAGAGTACAATTCCTAAACAGGTCCAATCCGACCTCCTGCTCAGAGCCTACTTTCAGGACAAAAGGGCAGGAAAAGGCTGGGGAGCCACCAGCATCCCCTCACCTCTCAAGGTGCCTCAGTTCCGAAAATGAGCCTGGCTGGAAGAAAATACCATGGGGTCACCAGCCATACAGCTCCTAGGGACCAAGCCCAGAGCTTACAAACAGATGACAGGTCTGAAATCTAAAGACGTTTTTAAAGCCTATCCCAAGTAACACGGCAGGCAGGATATGTCCAGGACAAACTATGCTATGTTATGGGTTTTTATTATTATTATTATTATGACTCACTGCACAGAAAATATCATAAAAAGCACAACACTCTTGCAGATCCAATAATGCAATCAGTGCTATTATAAACTAAGCTACAACCTAACAACTATACACAGTCTTGGAAACTTATGCCAAAAGATACGCTTCTCTCATGAAACCACCTCATAATTGGAGTAATGTTTTGTCTTCAGTAACAGTGAGGCACATGACTGTGTAATTTTAATAAAAGCCATTACTTTAAAACAAACAAAAAGCTATAGTGAAACACTGGTGAAACACAATGAAAATTATCTCAGCAACATAAGACAGTGAGCAATCAGTATTGAAGTAATATGCATTTCAACATCAACCATACAGCCCTTTCCTACAGTAGAGACTAAATAGAAATAATTTAGCTTGCCTGCCAATCTATCCTAAAAGCCATCTTTGTCAGCTTAAGTAGTAGTTTTAGAAATTAATTAAAAAGAAAATCTGCATGTGATAAAAATAAACAGATTGTTAAAAAAAAAATCTTAGAAACAGGAGGGATGTGAAAGCTACAGTGAAAAAAATCTACACTATAAAAGACAATACTGCAAGACAAGATTTTCAGAAACATTCACTGAGGCATTGATACAAATTCTTTGAAAAGGCGTGGCAAAAACCTGCATATGTTAAGATCTAAAAATAAAGCATTTCACAGGAAAGAAGCACATGTGATCTGTGGCTTTTACAAGAAAAAAAACAGTTACACTAATAATAGCAATTCTGTTTTCAAAGCTCTGTTATTTTATAAATGTACACAAATCAAGTAATGTAGTTTTGTTGAGAGCAGCAGCATTTTTTTGAGCATTATCTTGTCACAACTATGTAAGTCCATTCTATACGGATCCAACAGCACAAGGGCCAGAACAAAAAATTGAGCAAGCTCCTCTCTGCTCTTCCAACTCTCTCAGATAGTCACAATAGTACGGAGGAGGAGGGGGTTGGGGGAATTTTCTTAAAGAAGAAGGCTTCAACCAAGGAAATTAGCCTTATCCAGATCATGCGTGTATATGCACTTAAATTCTACCTTGAATTAACTGTGGCATTTGCATATGAGGTGTACCAAACTGAAGCTGGGATTGGGAACCCAGGAAAACAGATGAGCTTTGGAAATAGATGGGTTCCCCAGCAAGAAGAGGTTGCTCCAGGAAGCAAAAAGAGCGGG